TTGATAATAATGTACTGATTAAATGTGTGTAGAAAACAGTAGACTGGCCTCAAAATTCTCTCACTATGTATATAAAAAAACATTTCCTTTTGGATGACATCATAATGTCACTCTGGTGTCCCACAGGCTCTACCCTCCCACAGGGTCTCTGCCCCAGACACTGTTCAGGGACAGCACAACTTGCTCCAGGGCTGCTTGCTTGTGCTGCTGCTGTTCTTAGCGCTCACAGGCTTCTGGGCCAGCTGGCTCACAAGAAGCGCCAGGCGTCGAGAGAGGCGCCCTACATCCCTGGCCACCCACAACCCCTTTCTCCACCCTGCCCCAGTCTCCAGCCCAGTGCTGAGACCCAAACCCAGCCCCCAGACTACCTCTCTCCCACCCGCCCACCCAGCCACACATGGGGCTGCAGCAGCGAGCAGCACTTCTGAAAGGCAGGTGAGGAGGTGCCTGGCAGCACTGATCTGAGCAACCTGGGCCCCCTTTGCCTGGTGCTACAGCCCCTTGTTCTCCCTCCTCCCCCGTGTGAGTGGAGCACTAGCACTGGCTTCTGCTGCAGAGGGAGGCAGGGATGGAAAGCAGCGAGGCTCAGGGCTGCGGGGGAGAGAAAGCCCTGAGCTTCTCCACGTGGGGTTTAGGAAGAGAGGAAGCAGGAGGGAGAGAGAGCCCCGAGCCTCGCTGTGCAGGGAAGAAGCATTGCCCCTCCTGGGCTGGGGGAACAGCAGTGTGGGAGCGTGCTGGCTGGAGCCTTTTCCTGTGCTCCCTTTGGCCACATTCCACCTGATGGGAGCAGCGAGAAGCCAAGCCTGGGACTGGCATGGGGCCCGAAGACAAGTAAGTGCCCCCAACCTCCTCATGCCCAGACCCTGCATCCCAGGCCCCTCACTCAACCACCTGCCAAGACCCCCCCCCCCCCCCCACCTCCTGATCACACACTTTCCCCCCAGACCATTCCTGCCCCCTAGCTCCCACTGAGACCTTGTACCCTCAGCCCTTCCTGCACTCCCATACCTATCCCACTCACTGGCAGCCCTGTCCCACGCACCAAACCCCTCATTTTTGGCCCCAACCCAGAGCATAGGGGGGGCCTACAAAATCCACCAACCCTGGAACCCCAGAAGAGTTAGATCACACACTTTCCCCCCAGACCATTCCTGCCCCCTAGCTCCCACTGAGACCTTGTACCCTCAGCCCTTCCTGCACTCCCATACCTATCCCACTCACTGGCAGCCCTGTCCCACGCACCAAACCCCTCATTTTTGGCCCCAACCCAGAGCATAGGGGGGGCCTACAAAATCCACCAACCCTGGAACCCCAGAAGAGTTAATCTGGCCTGAGGCCTTGAACCTCAGTCCTCTTCTCCCGTCCCAGTGCTGGAGCACCAGGGGAGCGAGGTGTTTCAGTTGAGGGCCACATCATTGAGGGTTTTGGAGGGGCTTTTTTTCCTTCTCATTTGTATGGTCCCCAACAGATTTTTTTCTGTGGGTCAGTGGCCCTTGACCCAAAAAAAGATTCCCCACCCCTGCAATAAATAAAGACAACGTTGAAACCTTTTTGTGTTGGATATAATATTTTACTTGATTTAAAAATGAAGGCTGGCCAACAAGCCCCCAATTGGGGCCCCGCCTGCATCTGGCCTCAGGGTCCTGTCTCCGGTCCTGATCCTGGGGCAGGCCCAATGGTCCACTCCCAATCTTGCCACAGAAAAGGCTAGTGGCAGCCTCCGTCCTGATACGGCATGAATAAGAGGAGAGGCCACGATCTGGCTACAGCGGACGGAGGGGGGTTGGCGAGCATAGTAAGCAGGGGGCGCAACCCTTTAGTATTATTACAGTGAAAGATTTTTTTTATTATTATTTTTTTTGCCTGTCAAAGAAACCTCCAAATCTTAAGTTATTTTTCTTCCTGCCAAGTATAACTATGTATGGCTATGTCTACACTGGCGGGTTCTTGCTCAAGAACGGCCATTCTTGTGCAAGAACCCACGGCGCATCAATACCTCCTGCCCACTCTTACGCAGGAAGATTTACAGTACGGCATTGGAGGACAGGGCTTCTTGCGCAAGAGCTACACTCTTTTCTAACCAGGGTAAGAGCTCTTGTGCAAGAGGGCAGTGTGGATGCGCAGCAGGGGTTTCTTGCGCAAGGAAGCCCTGTGGCTAAAATGGCCATCAGAGCATTCTTGCACAAGAGAGCGTCCACACTGCCATGGATGCTCTTGCACAAAAGCACATGGCAGTGTGGACGTGTTCTTGCAGAAGATGTTCTTGTGCAAGAACCCGCCAGTGTAGACATAGCCTCTTAGTGCACACTGAGTGCCTGTTGTGTGCATTAGCTTAATGTTCTTTAGAAACGTACTAGGCTAAATCACACAAGAGCTCTCTTAAAGTTAAATAAGAGTGTTTACATGGGGACTTATGCTAAGTCTATACTGGCACTTTACAGTACTATAACTCTGACTCGGGTGTGAAACCCTCCCCTGAGCACAGCAAGACACAATGCTGTAAAGCACCAGTATGAACCAGGCTACCGCACTGGGATCCATGCTTCCAACACTGTTAGCTACTCCCCTTGTGGAGGTGGTTTACATAGAATGCTGGGAGAGCGCTCCCCGAGTACTCATGCCATGACCACTCTTTCAGTTTTAAAGCACAGGTGTGTAAGTGTAGACAGAGCCTTAGGGTGAAGGGGCTGGTGTGCTTTTAATTCAGAATTACACTTACTGCCCATGTATTTCCCTGTGTAGACAAGGTACTATAGTGAGATGAGCCTTAGAAATACCAAAAATAGAATGGATTGATCTTTGCAATGCTCCTATGAAGCATTATTTCCATCTTATTGACAGAAAAACTGAGGTAAGAAAGTTAAGCGATTTGTAAATTTAAGGGCAACGTAAAGAAATATAGATTGGAGAAATGAACTAGAAGGTGGATAGAAAGCTGGCTAGATGGTCAGGCTCAATGGGTAGTGATCAACAACTGGATGTGTAGTTGGTGGTTGGTATCAAGTGGAATGCCTCAGGGGTCAGTTCTGGGGCCAGTTTTGTTCAACATCTTTATTGATAACCTGGATGAGGGGATAGATTGCACCCTCGGGGAGTTTGTGGATGACACTGAGGGTACGTTTACACAGCAACATTATTTTGACATAACTAATGTTATTTTGAAATAACTTAGTCGACATCTACGCAGCAGGTGGTTATCTTGAAATAATGTCAAAATACTGTCAAGCCGGAGGACTTCTTACTCCAACTCCTGTTACCCTCATGTACGAGGAGTAAGGGAAGTTGGAAGAAAAGTGTTCTATTTCAAAATAAGTGCTGTATAAATGGTCCCAATTTTGAAATAAGCTATGCAATTAATGTAGCTCAATTTGCATAGCTTATTTCAAGCTAATCCTTGCTGTATAGATATACCCTAAATTGAGGAGAGAGTTTGGATACATTGGCAGGTAGGGATTGGGTTCTAGAGTGACCTAGACACATTGGAGGATTGGAGAAATCTGATGAGGTTCAACAAGGATAAGGGCAGAGTCCTGCACTTGGGGTGGAAGAATCCGAAGCACTGCTACAGGCTGGGGACTGACTGGCTAAGGAGCAGTTTGGCAGAAAAGGACCTGGGGATTACAGTGGAGAAGCTGGATATGAGTCAACAGTGTGCCCTGGTAGCCAAGAAGGCTAACAGCATATAGCGGAGCATTAGTAGGAGAATTGCCAGAAGATCTAGGGAAGTGATTATTCCGTTTTATTTGGCACTGGTGAGACCACATCTGGAGTATAATATCCAATTCTGGGGTCCTTTCAGAAAGGATGTGGAACACATTGGAGAGAATCCAGCAGAGGACAACAAAAATGATTAGGGGGCTGGAGAAACATGATTTATGAGGAGAGGCTGAGGGAATAGGGTTTATTTAGTCTACTGAAGACAATAGTGAGGCGGGATTTGATAGCAGACTTCAACTACCTGAAGGCGGGGTTCCAAAGAGAATGGAGGGAGGCTGTTCTCAGAGATGACAAATGACAGAATGAGGAGCAATGGTCTCAAGTTGCAGTGGGGGAAACCCTGGCTGGGATGCTTTAGTTGGGATTGGACTCGATAACCTCCTGAGGTCTCTTCCAACCCTATGATGCCATGATTGTATGACTTCAGCAGGCTTTTATGTACACTATGTTAGGCATGCACTTTAGTACCTTTTCTGAGTCAGAGCCCTAGTTGCTACTTTTTATTAAAATAATTTTCTTTTGCTTTTGTAAGTGTTGGGTCCTTATAAGGAATGTTATAATAAAGTCACATTCAAATTCTCAGGCCCGGAGAAATTAAGTGCTTCACTCTCATGAACTGGGGTTTACCACATTTGGAGGCTGTGATTCCAAAGTTTTGATGTTGTCTATTTTAATGAAAATTATGAGAGGTAAAGAAACAACCAACCATGTGCTACTAATTAGAGAACAATTTTAGAGACCAAGGAAAGTATTATTTCAAAGTTTAAACAGAGGAACTGCTGTTTAGTCTTAAACTTTGCATGATACATCCTGTTACTTTTATGTTGAGTGTCTGTACCCAAGAGAATTGATATTTTGCATGAAACATGATATTGGAACATGGCTTACTGCATTAAACCATCAGTCAGTTCACTGAAGTGCTTTTGAAGAGCAGCCACTCCACATTTTAACAGTTTGTGGCTTTCTCAGTTCTCCATGACATGAAATGTTCATAATCTCTGGCTGGTCAGTATTTGCTCCCTTAAGTGCAGAAGAAACAATCTGTACTGACAACTGGGTTGGTATTATTTATAGGAGGAACCTGATAACAAGAGTTCTATTTTCCACCTTACTTTCATGAATCAATACCTATGAAGCAGACAAAATGAATTAAAACAGTATGTGTTTTATCTTCGCAAAGAATATAGATGTAGAGTGTATGCCATGTTAGTAGAAATACTGAGCTTTTATTTACATTTAAAACAGATTATACAGGTTTTTTCTTTTCTATTTTTTTTTCACAGCAGCCTTCCAGAAGTGAAAGTTAGCAAACGAAAATTACATCGCCCCAAAACACCAGAAAGTGGGCAATTGCTTCCCAGGAGTAAGCGGAAGAAGAACTAGCAATACAGTCACCTGACATCTAAGGCTATGCAGTCATCTGGATACTCTATGAGATTTCCATACAGTTTCTCTCTTTTTTTCCCAGGTATGTCTGGGGGCACTTGAAGACTTTAAGCACTGAAATTATGTGCATTCCTATCATTTAAACTGCCTTGAAATAACTGATATACTTGTGTTTGCTTACAATACTGGGGCCATTTCATTTTAAGAATGGACATGCAATAATGCTGCATCTTTCTATAAACATTTAACTCTTCTGCCCATATTTTTAGCATGACAAATATGTTGCATTGTGGGGAAAATGGTTTTTATCATTTAGGAAGAAATGTTGACACCTTTGCTCAGGTAGGAGAATAGTTTACTCCGTAAGTAGCCTTCTTAAGATCGGTGTGACTATTTGTGGAGTAAGATTTCCTTAATGGAGAAAACTGGCACCTGACAAAGGACAGCGTGGTGTTGCACTGCTTCAGAGCAGAGCTTGGACCAAGTTTTGATTTAAGTCACAGTTGAAACCCAAAAATGGGGATGCAAGCTTTGCTAATTCTTTTCCTTGGGCTGCTTACTTCCATGTGATAGCTCAGTTTCTGGCTGGAGCCAAAGATTGACTCCCTATTTACTGGTGTAGGAGAGAGGATGTAGCTGTGTGATGGAGCCTGAGGGTCGTAGGGAATATATAGGCTGGCTCAGTTGTAACCAGTGTGAATAGGGGAATCGGATCTGTCCCTTAACCATTCCATAATTAGATAAACATAACCCCTGCATTTAAAATGTCTGAATTTCTTACGAATTATTGTAAATGTTCAACACACCACAAACCATACTAAAGAGTAATATAAATCCAGTGACCTTTTGTACTACCAGCGTTTTATCTTAAATATTTGTGGTAGTTGGGCTCTATTTGCATTGGTATTAACCAAAATCTTTGCCTTTTTGAAATTGTAATGAAATGATAAGGCAGGGAGATTAATATATTTGGTCACTATGAAACAATTTGATTTTGCAGGTGGTAGAAATATTTCATATTTCAAACCATTTCAGTCCCAAAGCAATATGCTGTGTGAAAATATATATTTGTAAGGTTATTCTTATTCCTTTCATTATTGTAGTTTAAGCATTAAGTTTAAATTGAAGATTCCATGGTTTTTAGAATGTATGTATTCTAGATGTGAAATAAATATTAAAATGTATATATGCTTATTTTAATAGTTTAAAGGCATATACAAAAATTAAAGGGGCTCTTTCCCCTATATAGGACTCACACAGAGAATACATACTCTCCCCGAATTTAAAAATAATCAAATTTAGTCCCCTTGGAAAGCAAAGTCTACATGGTCATGACTGTTTTGTGTGACGCACAAAATCCAGTTACTGGTTAAGATAGAGGGTTCTGTGAATTTATATTTTAAAATACAGTTTTGAAGTTTGAGGTTAACATGCTTCTACTGGGAAAACTGCTTACTGTTGGGTATTTCCATTCGGCCCAGGGTAGCAAACAGTGTATCTGTTCTAATAGGCATATCTGCAGCTAGTGTAAACTGTCATAGTAGAGATAAGAAATAAGAGCTTGGATGCGGCATTTTCTAATTAAAATAATCCCATTGAGACTAGATAACTACTAACTACAATTATTAGGTTATTGTATTGTGGTTCATGGCAATTAACAGAAGCAAGATTTAAATTCCACTCAATTATATAGAGAAAGATATAAAACATGTTACATACATAGGTCAACATCTGTTGACTTAAATGGCAGTTTACAGTAGCAAAGGATGTCCCAGGTGAGTTTGCAGTACCAGGTCCTTGCTTTTGATTGCCCTATTTTTATAGTTAGTTGGGGTTAATTAAATACTTAAAAAAACATGATTTTACTCCACTGCTAGGCATGGACAATTCCATCAATGAAAATGTAACCAGTACTAGCACATACTTGAAATTTAACCACAGAGGGCAAGTGTGAAAATATTGTTAATAAAATTTGAGTAACGAGGTCTGGGCCTTTGCATTGCTTGTTAATGTGCTACTCTAACAGGAGGCTCTGAAACTGCTGAAATGTCAGTGAGTATTATAGTTCAACTGAAGTAGTAAGTACCTTTGTTAATGTTGGCACAATAGGCAACTGTTTATAGAATTGCTAACTTATGTTTAAAACTGTGCATTTGCAAAGTTAAATCCATGAGCATGTAAACCAAAAAAATATCTTTATAAAAGCCACTCTCTTGGTAGAGTTGAATCTGTTAGATTTCCTGTTCATGGTGTATGCTCCTTATACTCTGCATTTCACTAATACACTAGGTTATTTCTGTATATACCTGCAGCCAGTGAAATGTTACACTGAAACCGTGAAATATTTAAAACATAAGATTTTGTGAAAATTAAATACATGGCAAAATTCAGGATATTCTAGGAAAATCATGTGAATGGTTGAAACTTGTGTTCCAAAGTTCCCTTCAGTACGCTGTGTTCCCTGAACATCAAAATGACTCTGTTTTTTACATACAAGATGGAAAATATAAATCATTAAATTTGAGTGATGTCATTGCAAGCAATACAGTAAGATAGACACAAAATAATTAAAAGATGAAATTTGCAGGTTAGTCTTTTATGTTTTCCAATTTGTGCTTTCATTGCTGTTGATTTTTATTGTAATTTGTGATACTGCCTGCTAATATCTCTTTGTAATAAAACTTGATACAAATGCTTGTTATGAGACTCGTTTATTTCTTCTCTCCTCATCATAAGTCTATATGGGTACTTCTTCCCTTGCTTGTTTGCCTCTGTCTCATCTCTCATCATTTAACATTTTGGTTCTACTTGTTTTTATATGTTTGTACCAATTTTGGTGACTTCCAGTAAGTTAATAATTATTGACTTTACACTGGGGAAAACACTGACAAAAATAGGCAAAGTAGCCACATGAGGCATTGAGAGGTACTTTTAAATTCTTTTGGGAAATCATGAAAAATAACAGCAAGAATCTGTACATCTGTAACAAAGTAAGCACCTTTGCCTTGGCTTAAGTTTGGTTTGGCTACCTACCCCTAGATAGCATTTTGGTTATATAACCAACCAAAACCACAGTGTTGTTTGCAGTAGCAATGTAGTCATGTTGATCTCATTTTAGAAAGACAAGGTAGGTGAGGGTCATATATTTTATTGGACCAACCGACAGCTCTTTCATCAACAGAAGTTGGTCCAAGATTTTACCTCAGCCATCTTGCCTTCCCAAAGCAGAAGTGAAATAGAGGTATCCGTTATTACTGAATTCTACTTCCAAAGAAATGTCACATTCCAGTCCTAACTGAAACTGAAGTACACGTAGATGCTGTGACTTAGGCTGTATCTAGACTACATCCCTTTTCTCGAAAAATGGCAGCCACGTTATTTTTAAATAGGGCTTTTCAATAGAAAAACGACAGTTTAGATGAGTATCTTTCAAAAATAAAACCCTTTTTTGAAAGATCCTGTAAGCCTCATTTTTTGAGGCGTACAGGATCTTTCGAAAAAGTTTTATTTTTGAAAGATCCCCATCTAAACTAACGTTTTTCTATTGAAAAGCCCTGTTTTGAAAAAAAAAACCATGGCGCCATTATGCAAATGAAGCACAGGAAATTTAAATCCCAGCTTCATTTGCAATTTTGAAGTGTCTAATTTACATCCCTTTTTCGAAAAAAGGGATGTAATCTAGATACAGCCTTAGTGAACAAAATGATAAAGCTTATATTTACCAGACTCTCTAGTTATTTTTATTCTAGCGGCCAGCAATTACAGTATGATTAACTGTCAATGGTGTTGTATAACATTTACAGCAAATATTATACAACACCTTTGTATAACTAGCATTGGCTTAATGCTGCTGCCAGTAACGTCAATAGGAGTTTAATGCTGCTTTAGACAAGTGCTTTGTGCTTTTGGAAATCCCACCCTACATCTTCCAATGGAGCATTTCTGGTGATCAGTGTAGTATGTTATAATTGTTCAGTAATGAGAGCAGGGAGATCCTCATTTATCAGGGACCCATACACCACTGATCCCTGTGTTGGTCAGGCCTCATAAATATGTCCCAAAGAGATGTAAAATTTAACACATTTTTGGAGCTCAGGCATCTTGGCTTTTGCCTGCAATAAAAGACAATTTCATTTTAATTTTTTAAATTCAATTAAAATTTCACTTTCCATCCTTTTAACTATTCTGTTCATCTAAATGAATTATTCCTGTTCAATCTGGAAACTCAACATCCTTACAACTAAGAAACACACTCCAAAGTGTGCAGTGTTAAATCCATTAAATTCCATGCCAAATGAAACACAATATCATCCATAAACTGTGACATTTCCTTTTTCACCATGTCCTAAAGTTAATCTCAGTAAGGGTTGCAAAGGTCTGAAGTTTTGTCTTTGATTGGTGTCATTTTAGCCACTCAATAAGGACCATGAAAGAAAGAAAGCCCTTTTTGGTCTCCATGGTGAACCTATTGGCCAGCAGGAAAAAGCAAACTATTTGTGTCTGAATTCAGTTTGTTCCAAGACCTTTATTTGCTGTTTTCAGTCTTATTTTCACATGTATAAAACATCTGATTGACATGATGATCATGATTATAATATGGATAAAATTCCATTTTTTTTAACTTCGAAAACAGGACTCAAAGATATTTGCCGTCATGTTTCCTTCTACATTGCCAGGGTGGCTGCACTCTAGGGGTGGCACAAACGGTGCTATCGATGGCATCAACCCCACCCCCAACCCAGTGAGCCCAAAAGCTGTGTGCTCTAAGGACTGGGTAAGAGGGTGGGATGATGATAGGAAGGGGGTGGTGCTTGGAGGCCCCAGTCTGTGGGGAGTTTGAGACCCTGGTCTTAGGGTATGTCTACACTGCAATTAAAAACCTGCAGTTGGCCCATACCAGCTAACTGGGGCCCACAGGGCTTGAGTTACAGGGTTTATTGCAGGGTAGATTTCTGGGCTCCGACTGAACCTTGTGAGGTGGGAGAGCCCCAGAGCCCAACCCCTAACATTTATAATTCACTTAAATAGCCACATAGTGCAAGCCCAAGTCAGCTGGCATAGACTAGCTGTGGTTGTTTAATTGCAGTATAGCCTTACTGATTAAAGGGTGATCTTTTCATTTGTCTATTAGAAAAGTCCCTGGCTTTTTCATTGCCATTTCTTGCAATAATTTGTCATAATTACTAAAAAGAGTACAGCTCAGATGTCAGAAACCCTAAAACTCTGCCTCCGTCATGCCAGTTTGAAAGGTATGTTGGAAAAAGATACTCTATAATGTGTTAGAAAGAAAATCCTTCTTCAAAAACATTCTCAAAGAACAACCCATTTGAGAACTCTCTGGTGGTTTTTGGTGGCTAAATACTGCGGCATTCAAAGAAAATATTGCAGAGTACAGAGGGAGAACATCTGTTAATAAGTGCTGTGCATGAAAGTGATTACTGCTGAAATGAAATGAATAATTAAAAACTCTGTACACTGAAGAGATTTTTGCTAAGGACTAGGAAAATAGCTAATGTCAAGAATGTGTTAGCTAACATATTTCCACTACTATGTATTAGCTTATGTTTTTGAAAATTACTATAGTCAGATCCTTTTAAAACATATTATCTGGTTTTAGTCAGCACCAGCAGACAGCTTATACAGTCTTAACGCCTTTGTGAGCTTTTTTCTTTTAGTGGGGTGACCAAAAGTAAAGTAAAGAATTGGTATAAAAGGATAAAGCCACCGTACCTGGTTTGACTATCTTCTTTTGAAGGAAGCTGCCTTTGCATGTTGTGTTCGAATGCTGGCAATGCCATCTGTTTATGAGGGATTTGTGGTAAGGATGGAAAAGGCTTTGTTGCTGATGACCCAAAAACAATGAATCTCTCCTCATGCAATGTGAGAAAGTTCTTCCACTCAGATATTGGAAGCTTGTTGAGCTGTGCGTGCAATGTGTTTCCAACCACTGGCATGCTAAATGTGGCATTAGAAGCACTGTCTCAATTGTGTGTGTATCTGTTGATGCTCTATAAACCATTCCTCTTGCTTTGGAGGTATTTCAAATGCTGCCCTATAAAATAATGCAAAGATACAAATCACATCATTTTTATTGGTAACTGACTAATTATTTAATGGATTTGAAGATGGAGATGCTACTTAATGTATTTTATCAGGCATAGTTGTATTGTCATCAGTATTATGTACTAAATGAAATCAGGACAGTTATGTAAGACAGTCTTAATGGAACTGAAAACAATACTGTCTTTTATGGAGAGAATATTAAAGGATCAGAGTTGTGATCTTCATATAACTTAAAGGGAAGTTACATAATATTCTCACACTATTTAATAATGGCTAAGAACTGTGATAGCATGATGGCTTACCATAGCAAAGGGATTGGCAGCTGCATAGAGGCTTCTGAATTCCTAGATTCCTTTAATCAGAAACAGCAATCTTTGAAATAATATATTTTGACTGATAGGTGGATTTTGGACTCCCCATCTTTGCTTCCAAAAATGTTTTTAGTCTTCATACCTCTGTATTTCTCCTGTTAAATAGACTTTATGAAAAGCACACTTTTTGAAGGAAAAAACTTCCAAAACTCTGGCCACTTTTGGCATACCAAAATTATTTTTAATGTGTGTACAGTGTCCTCTATTTAGAAGTCCTTGAGAACGTCTTTGCTTATTGATAGGAAAGTTTTTCATCTCTCTGCCATGTGCCTTACAAAGTTTTCACTTGCAACTCATGGAGTTGCAAACAGATATTTCTCATCTCTTTATCTAATCTATTTAAATAGACAATACAATCTTTCAGTTGATGCTAGAGCCCCCAAAAATATGTTGCATAATTTCTAGCTCCACTGAACAATGGTGAATATTGTTTACTAAGTATCCCAAATGGATGTTGGGTGTTAATATTTTGAAGACAATTCTATATTTACTATATAGCTAGGTTGCAGCTTCTTTCAAGTTTGTAATGTCCTTATGCCAAGCTACGGGTATGGGTAATGATGCAGAAGTAGGAAGGGGATGGTTCAGACTGAGCTTCATGAGATTTGAGTTTAATTCCAACCTAAGATTCCTATATGACCTTGGGTAAGTCTCATAATCTATCCTAAACTTTATCATCTCCCTATCCCACAAGCACAGTTTGAGGTTAAAATTAAATAATAACCATAAAGTGGTCAGATGCTACAGGGATAAGGCCATAAAAACTAGATGTACAGATGTTTATAACTGTAACACAATTATTTTTTTTCCTGCTTACATTGATAGCATTGCTCAACCCAATCTATTCACACACAAATGTTTTGTCCTAGAAAAAGGGTTTGTTCTTGAAAGCACTTAAATAGTTGTTCAAATGTTTCCATGGTCAAGGTTCTCAAAACTAAACTTACGTGATCCCACATTTTAACAGTTTAACTGTCAGATGTCAAAGATTTGTCTTAAAGAAATTAAATGCCAACGGCTAAGGCTGAAAATATTAAATGTTGAAATCTAGATAGTATAATAATAGATCAGTGAACAAGACTGCCAAAATCTTTGATTTAATTTGTTTCAAAGACCCTTTTACAAGCGATTTTATGGAGACTTCTGAAAGTTTTGAAGTGTAGAAAGCAAGTCTCATTAAATCTAAATTTTCAAGGTATTAGGAAAACAAGACAATGAAAAGAGATAATCAATGTTCCTCTGTTAACCAAGAGCCCACTTCGCAAACTGGATC